AAATTCAATTCTTTTTTTATTCTTTTATTTCACTTACGTTACCAGCAAAGTATGAAATCCGGCATTCTATAGAACGCCTAAAACTAGCCGGAAAAATGTATGAAATGATTCTTATTTCACACATTGTCTAGGCATTCTGTAGAATGCCTAAAGTATGCTACATATCCCTGATTCGTTTCAAATATTGCGTGGCAAGGCACGAGACTTAACGCGTGGCTCAGACTCAGAATTAGTCAGTTGCACATTGTAGTTTGTTCGGAAGTGTCAAAATACTCAAGTTTACTTAAATTTGTTCAACAAAAAATTGGTTTTTTTTCTGTGCTGCAATAAAATGGAGGAACAAGCTGTAGTGTTGGGAAAAAAATCATGGTTTGTAGCATGGGGTGGCAACCTATGTCACGTGGTACTATTCTCAGTGGCACTCTGCACTACTCAACAAATTTATAGAGTTTTGAATGGATAGAACTTGATAAATTTGTAATGGGCTTTATCTGTGGCAAACATCCAGAATTATGGACAATTACGAAATTATGAAAAAATTTGAAGATAAATCTAAAAGAAAATTCACAGCTTTTTTTGTAAATTATCGAATGCCATAGCTGGAGATATTTCATTGTTTGAAGAGAGAAAATTGCATGCATTCTGCTTATCCGCTTTTGGTTCTACATATCTAAGTAAAATATCTTTTCTCATATGAAAAATATTTCGAGTCCGCAAAGAAATTGTTTAGTAACTGAATGTTCAGAATCATGTCAAAAGGAAAGTCACAAAATACACCCCAGATTTTGCAATATGAAAGTAAAGCGATGTTCACTATGTTCACATTAAAAATTTTATTTATCTTTTTATTTAACTGTGATGAAAGGAGACACTTATATTTTACGTTGTCTATTTCTTACTTTAATAAATATGTTTAAAAATACATAAAATATGTACAATTTAGAGAATTTTTTTTTGTTTTTGTTGAAGAAATAGTTTATAATGTTTATTTTTATGTTAAGAAATATATTTAATTGATGCAAAATTAATGTATAACAGTACTGTAAGTGTATATTACTCAACTCTATTCTCTAACTCTGCCTGCATTACCGCGGGAGTCGAATTGTTTCAAAAATGCCCAACTGTGTAGCACGCTGAATCATAATTGGTTGATTGGATTTTGACGCGACATAATTAAAAGGTTGCCGACCCCTAATCTATAGGCATGAAACAACTTTTCGACGACCAGCTGTCTAAAATTCGAGTTAATTCTGTAAAAAAAAGGAAAAATATCTTTTTAACTGAAACTACTTACTACAAGCTAATAACTGATGTGTACAAAACTCCAAAATGACTACTAAAAGAAACCCAGGGACTAATGGCTGCTGAATAGCTATGATGTGATATTTGTGGAAAATTTTATTTTTTTTAATTTCTAATGGGCAATGGATTGGTGTTATACCATTGCATACCTAGTACATTCCCCGGAAGCTGGTATATCTTTTTAGTGTAGTACCATACAGGAGGATATGAATCGCCGCAAATAATTTTGACGCCCAGTTTCCTCCACAGAGGGAGGCATCTGAGCTGTGACGGTGCGAACCTGTTCTAGAATTTAATTTTGCCGAGAGCACCCAAGCCAAACAGACACTCTATTGCTCCTTTACACATGTCGTATAATCAACCGCTGTTAATCCTCTGCATCATGAAAATCCACCGACTTATGTAGAATTGGAGCCCACTACCTTGGGTGCAGAAAGCCAGCGACAAACCAAACACGCCACCCAGCCGGCATATTTGTGAAAAAAAGTAAACTCTTGTAACCTTTTAAAAACGGCATCAGTAATATACAACAGTGGCTCTCAACCTTCAGTCCATAGATCAAATGATATTGGATCACTCGATGAGCATAAATTATTATATTTCCATTTTATTTATAGGGGTGTATTTTTCTAGTGTTTGTTTGACTTTCCATTGAAATCACTTTATATTTCATGTAAAATCACTTTGTATTCATTATTTGGCGTAACTGAATTTTATTCGGAAGGCATGTTTAAATACAAATAAATTATTAAATCAAAACAATTTAAAAGATAGACAATCAACGTCCCACCCTCAACTGGCCGAGGTAAAAGTATGAAACGTGGACCGATCTGCGGGGATAAAAAGGTGGTTGAGAAGCATTTCTATACAGTATTACGTCACGAATTCTGAGTTATTTTACGTACATCATGAAGCTCATTTGACTATTGAACACGAGGGACGTGATAGAATTCTGAAAGAACTTTCAACCAAATACAAAAACATTACACGTTATGATTTTGAACAGCACGTTTACCTTTGTGAACTTTTCCAGAAAAAAAAAGAGAAAATTATTTTTAAAAAGGCATTTTGATGAAATTTGGGATTTTTTTTAATGCCAATATATTGTCACTTGTAATAAGAGGGAAATAGGTTGGTTTCTATCGACTTGGAACATATGAAAGAATTTTAAAACAAGAGAGAGTATATGCGAAATCCCTATTTACTTTGTGTCCTAAGAACTTGCTTAGAATTAAAGATATCCATGACCACGAAATTCCTCTTCTGCCAGTTGTATGTGCTCATTCAAAAGGAAGCAGCCAAGGATTAGTCAAATGTATGTGTAAAAAACCAAAATAACAATTGTTTTAGCATGAAAATGTATTGAAATGTAATTCAAAATACCATTCAAGCCTACCATGTTGCAATCAGTAGGTTAATTTCAAGTTCTTATTTTTTATTTGAGAATCTTGTTTTTCTTCAGAAGATAAACATACTACTTTTCAAAGAAAGATACTACTTTTATTTTCCCTTACGTATTTTGAACAATTTTTAATGGCACTCTCATTATTTTGTCAGAATACAATTTATGTATATTTAGGAATGAATGACATTGATATAATAGCCTTATCACACACACATGAACTTTTTTCATGCTTTTCCTAAATAACTTTGGTCATTCAATACAAAGCCTAGGCATTATATACAATACCTAGGCAAAGTATGAAATAACTCTCTTATTTCATACTTTGCCTAAAAACGTCCGGTATTCAATATACAATGCCTATGCATTTCATACTTTGCCGGTAACACACATATTAAAATTTGTGCATGCAATTTATGACAGTTGAATCCAAATGATATTAATAATGAGCCCAGACATTTATAATAAGGCAAAATCTATTTAGGGATACATCTTCTGAGTCCATTTTGGGTGTCTTTTCTTAAGGTTTAATCATTTGGCTAACAATAATGATAAGGTTTAAAATTTTGATATATATTCTATTGGGTTAATATACAGTCCTCTAAAGATATTCTTTTTCTGTTGCTTTTTAAAAAGATGGGATTATTAGTAAATATTTTCCTTTTACATTCTCAGATAATTTTTCAAAAGAATGTTTCACGTTAATACCATTTTCCTTATCTGAATATTCCAAAGCTTACAACTTTTATTACGATTACTCAGCTTTCCTTCTTCGTTAGGTATTTAATAGAAAATAGTTGCATAAGAAACTAAGATATCGTTAATATATAAATGTCTATTGTATACATTGTTTATTCCTGATTGTTTCAAAATATCTGTTAGTAAAATAAAAAAAAAACAAAAAAAAAAAGATTGGAGGATAAATCATCAAAAATCAAAATTAAAAAGAGATCCAATAAAAAATACCTAGCACAGTTTATGCATTATCTCGAGCATCTTATTTAGGAAGTTATTATAGTAATGTTAAAGATCATTTCTTATTTTAAGAGATGAAAACAGTGACTGTGAAAATGTCAAGTGATTCGGAATAGGATCCTCAGTAATTAAAACCAGATGTAATGTTTCGAAGCAGTGTGTAATTTTATATTTCGCTCAAATCTTTTCATGAAATTCCCAAAATATGCAAATTCTCTTGATTTTGAACACCAGTGTATATTAAATTCAATTAAATATAATACTATTGTGATTCAGTTGTAATTTCTTTTAAAAGTGCAATCACCAAGAAATTAACGCATAGTTAAAAAAAATTTTAATTCATTTAAGGAAAAATTAAAAATATTTTTTTAAAAAATTAATTTCTTTTGCAAAAACTATATTTAACTGTTTTAAAAATGCAAATATTCATAAAATCTTGTTTCCACGAGTCTCATAAGAAAAAATCATCGCTTTATGAGCTTTTTATATAAAACAAAATAGAGTCATTTATCTTAGTCAGTAAAATACCATTGATGTTAATCCCATATACATTAATTTTTAGAATATTAAAATCAGCACAATGATACCAAAATACTCGTTTACATAAATAAGATAGACGTCGTTAACAGTTGTTATATTCGAGTGTTGATAGGAAATGGGCTTATTTTTTTTCTGTGGTCTAAGAACTTTAAGCCTTTGAGGAGAATTTTACCCTTTGAGGAGAATTTTAAAAAAGAGCTATATAACTTGTGTGTTTCTAGAATTCCCTTGATGAAAATATTTCCTTTTTTAGAAAGAGTTTGAAAAGTAGTAGTAAAAGGAATAAATAGCCCACCAGAGAGATGAAGAGTTTCCATTTGGTTGTTTATCTTCCATATATATTTTTCTTTATAGGGTATACATATATGTTTGATGCATTTTTTATATTTAAAGACACATTATAAAATTTATTTTGGCTTTTATTAGATATATTTTGCGATAAAATCCCAGATTTGACTTGTAATGTAACAAGTAATGTATAAAAAAATTTTAAGTTAATTTCTACTTAGGTCAACAAGGAAAAGTTTTCTTTTACTTACTTTTTATTAAATAGTTACAATATGAATATATATATATATATATATATATATATATATATATTATATATGGCAAAATTACAATATTAAGTGACAAAATAGAAAGCTATTTCCTTTGCAATTTTCCATTTTTCATTCTATATAGGGTGTTAGACTATTTTTGTTACTATTTATTCATTTATTAAATTTAATTATTCAAATAAAATAGTATAGTAAAAAAGAAATCACATTCTAAGAAATTAGGCTATCCCAAGTGGGGTTCTAACCCACGGCCTTTGGATTATATATCCAACGTGCTACCCATTGCACTACAGAAGCGCAACGAATGACTTTCATTTCTATATATGCTGTTGAACTATAATTTTTCTTACTAGTTATTCGTTTTTTAATTTAATTATAGAATTAATATTTGAAAAACTGCATTAACATCAAATGCCATTTACCACAAGTTTAAAAAAATGTATTTGAACTTGAATGGATGAATAGAAAGTATTTTTTTAATGATTGAAAATTTTTGATCAAGATATATATATATATATATATATATATATATATATATATATATATATATATTGTTTGAATGTTATATATATATATATATATATATATATGAACATTCAACATGCAAAATATAGATAGATAGAAAGAAGAGAGTGGTCTAATAGTAGAAATTGAAAAACCTGACAATATGTTTACTAAATGAAACACTGTTTAAAATAGTATACTTTCATTATATTATTAATGAAAACTTTTCATAAATCCTGTTTAATGACACGTTATATTGTTTCGTTTTTTACACTAAATGGTCGACAATTTTTCTCAGAAAGCATGTAATGGGTTCTATACGTGATTCGGACTAATCCTCTTGTGGAAATACTTTTACTGGCGTTATGTAATTATAAAATTTCTTTCTCTAAGTAACCTTAATTTACATTTATGAGGATTACTATTTAAAATCAAGTGAAGGCAGAAGTAGGTGGGATGGTGATTGTTGTTATGCTGATACGTAAGATAGATAAGTTTCTATTGAAATCATCGTACTTCAAAGTACAAAAACTAGACGGGCTGGTAAAGGACTCATATATACATATTATTGATGAGGACATTCCTACTTTTAAAATTAGTATTAAAACTGACTTTAGTGATTAAAAAGTCAAAATAAAATTTATACTTTAAGAAAATGTCTGATCCTTTGATGAATCCTCACACTTCAGCTGGTGAAAGCTCACGATACGTATGGTATACGCATCAATTTCAGAAATGTTAATTTAAATCAAATGATACAACAATTTTCGAAACAATTATGTTTGCTTGCTTGCCTGCCTGCACGGAGAGTCAATTGTTTTTACAAAATAAAAGAGGAGATAGTCATTCACACGAGAGATAACTAAAATGGAACATAGGGTCGCTGTCGCATTCTATTCTGACAGATAGAAAGAAGAACATTAGAATTCTCAATCTGATCATAAACGATAGGAAAATGAATGACCGATACCAAAAGTTACACAATTCAATTTATAACTCAGAAAGCAAGTCATAGCCCATGACTTCGTTTGCCTCTGCCTAGTCAACATATCTCTTAAAAACGACTATCAAGCATTTACCGTTAGCAAATTTCCAATGAGAAGACGCATTATTTAGTAGACTTAGTAGAAATTTTTAGAGAGCAAACGTTGTTCAAAATACGGTACACTATCAATGCTCTAAAGTAATACCATAATAACATCGAACGAAAATGTTTGTGAAGGCTGTGGTGGATCCTCAAAGTACTGTCCTAAATAAACACCAGCAGAGATTTCCATGTTGTAACAAAGTTTTATCCACCTCTAACTCGGGTCTTTTCGATCCAACCAAATTGACACTTTGAGCTAGAGCAACGAAATGCCACAAATGAACGTCACTATTAAATAACATATAAATAATCAGTGAGATAGAAAATAGATATTGTGTAGACAATATTGTTACGTTAGTACTACTTGAATTATAGTCGCTTATTCTTGAATTACAGTTGTTATTATAAGTTATTAAAATATTTCCCATGCGTAGGTGAGTTTCTGAGGTTGCATCTCTTTTAAAAGTTAAGTAACCGTCATATCTTATTATTTAGTTTGTCTTGTCAACACATCTCATAATAAGTTTTGACGTTAAATTTATAAAAAGGAATTACTGTGAATATCTATTGGCCATCATTTTGTGTCCTATTTAATGGCGTCTCATTCACTTATGCGTTCGGATCCCACGAGAACCTCAACGATAAGGAAAATCTCCATCACAATCAATCCGAGGAAGTGGTACCCCGACAAGGTATCATCTTGGTGATTATTTAGTAGACCTTTTCTCATCTCGCCGGACCTTTTGACCAGCGCGACACTCTGTCTCTTCTTGGAATTAGTGCTTTCATGTTTATTGCACGATTCCTTTTCCCATCCTAAGAGATATATGGTTTATGGACTATAGAGCATTAGTACACTTTCGCAGCACACTCTAACACATCTTAAATACCACATAACCCACACGATGTATCGAACAAGGAAAACATGGGCTTTTCATTCTATCTCATTAGATCTAAACCCACTGGACTTTTTCTTCTGAGAGATCTTCAGTGTATGAGAGGTTTGGAGACTCGTTTGGGAAAATTTAAAACCAAAACCGTTGTTGCCTTAGACAAAAATAACAGAGCAGCAAAAATTTTTAAGAATGTGCGTGAGTCATTCATTCGCTGGATTGAACTGTGCAACAACACACGCAACTACTTCTTTGAGCCCTTGCTGTGAGTTTTTCCGAAGTACTAAATGGTATTGTGTAATTTGTAGCATCCTTCATTCACTTTCCCAAAACTGTAAGAAATCCAGGTTTTCATTTTACTTTTTCTTTCTTTCGGAGTGTAATGAGATTCTATATTCCATGGCAAGTATTGCTCATATGGAGAAAAACTATCACCCCTCCAATTTTTTTAAAAAAATTTTTACTCACTCTGAGTATGGGGAAGGTTATACACTGTTGGACAATTGCTAAGGACGGATAACACTATCATCCATAGCAACCACAAAATGAAAGGAAGCGAAATGTGGAAAAGTAGAATAAGTGCGGGATATTAGTAAGAAGTATGAGTATGCAAATTTTTTTCCACGTCTGTTCATCACGTGATAGCGTTCATAAGAGCTTTAAAGGTTTTGACGCGTGTGGACATTTGTTGTTTCAAGTCAAAGTTTTACAGGAAAGATTTAATAAACGAACTTAAAATTTTTGGCATGTCTTCCCGACATCACATAGATGATTTTATGCGCGGCCGAATTATTGGAAAGATCGAAGAAGGGTGAAAAATAACAGATGTTGCCAGGGAAGCGTTGTTTCACGGCTGTGGAAGTCATTTAAAACTACTGGAATGTGTAGTAGACGGTACGGGGGAGGTCTTGTTAGAAGTACGACGCCTGCAGACGACAGATATATCGTCCTATCAGCAAAAAGGAACAGGCGCACCATAGCTGAGAAGGTGGCAAATCAGTTTCTTGCTGCCTCAGGAAAACAGATCTCCCGAAAAACTGTTGCCAGACGTTTGAGGGGAGGAGGACTATACGCACGCAGACCTGTTGTGTGTGTTCCGTTGACCAGACAGCACCTTACTGTCCGTTTGCAATGGTGTCGTGAGCATCACAATTGGACTGAACAGGACTGGGCATGCGTACTATTCTCAGATGAGAGTAGGTTCAGTCTGTCATCGGATTGTAGACGCCAACTGATCTGGCGCGAGAGTGGTACTGCTTATCGTCCAGAAAATATCCAGGAAAAGGACCGATATCCGACATGCAGTATCATGGTGTGGGCCGGCATCATGATCAATGGCCGCACGCGCCTACATGTGGTTGCGAATGGTACTATGACGGGCCAACGATACATTGATGAAGTTCTACTTCCTCATGATCGTCTTTTCCGTGGTGCTGTCGGTGATATTTGTTTTTATGGACGACAATGCAACATGTCATCGAACACTCACTGTTCAGGATTGTCTAGACAGCGAGGGTATTCAACGTCTCGTATGGCCAGCGCGTTCTCCAGATCTAAACCCCATTGAAAATGTGTGGGATGCTTTGGGGAGGCAAGTTGCTGGTCGAAACTATCCTCCGACAAACAAGAACACCCTCATCCGTGCACTCACAGAGGAATAGGATAAATTGCTTCAACAGCTGCTGGATAATATTGTGCAAAGTATGGTACGATGTGTGGAATGTTGCATCACACTCCACGGTGGATATATCCCGTACTGATCTCTGTACGCAGATCAAATGAACATTTTTTTTTCTTTCTGATGTTTCACAGCTTTTGTACTTTCCAGAACAATAAATATTCTTTATTCTAATGTCTGAACAGTGTGGCAACTATATTTTATCCTACTAGGCCTCATGTCTCGCTTAATGTTATGCTACATAGCAATTTGTGATCCGTCCTTAGCAATTGTCCTGCAGTGTATATACACTTGTCTCCGAAAGTCTGCGTACAGGCAATCATCTTGCGTGTTTATGCTATAATTACTAATAAAATCTCGCCTTAGAAAACCGAAATACTTGTCAGCAATTCTTCAACATTTCCTTATTCAAACAACAACAACAAAATTCACCTTAATAAGAAAAATAAGAATGACCACAAAATAATCACCAACCATCCGCGCCAAAAGTCTGCATACATTTACAAAATAGAGCTTTTAAACACCTTTTATTGTAAAATAATTGCACGAAATCGTGTTTTTACGAAATGTCTTACGATTTATTTAGGATTTCCAATTTGAAAGCTTTTGTGGTTCCATGACAGGCAACAGAATAGAGATCAAAATATTATTAATAGAAAAATCATCATAAATCTTCAGAAAAGGGAGAAATTTTTAAATAAATTGTTGAAATTGTTAATAGGAGACATATATTGATTCAAAAAGTGTTCATAAACTACAAATCAACTAAAGTTTTAACGTCTAAACAAGTTCTTCTCAAACTTTCAATATTGGTGCCCCCCTTTTCAATCACAATTTTTATCGCGCCCCCCTTATACATTAATAATGTACTGAATGCAATAATAATGCAATATTTTTGACGCTAAAGCTACAATACGCGATCTTAATTATAAACCATACAAATTAATAACATAAGTATTACATTTTGTATACTTTAATTTTAAGCAAAAAAAGAATAAATAAATAAAGTAATAGGATAGTTATTATGTTCCTTTCTCTAATTTTTAAATTGAACAAATTGCAAAATGCGGTGGCTGCTTAGAAGACAAATTATAGATATCAGCTAAATGTAGAAAAAGGACTCAGAGGGTCAATT